GATCTAATGGGATTTGTAATCTCACTTATAATGAGGATGAGATGCTGAGACTTGATGTCTGACAGAAAATTTGCCAGGACAGCAATGGTCCTGGAGTCGAGGGTGGAAGCAGCGAGATAGAGTTGGGGGTCATGTACATAATGTGGAAATTATCCCCATATCTGTAGATGACATGGGCAGCACAGAAACCCGATTGGAGAGGTTCATACAGAGTGTGGCAGGAGTGGAAAGTGCAAAGCTGGAAGCAATGACTTATAGCACTACTCAAAAAGAGTTATTCTCAGATCCCAGTTAACATTCTGCCAGACAAAACTAGCCATTCACTTCATGGCTATTTGTGGGACATTGCGTGCATAAATTGGCTGCTCTGTTCACCTACAAAATATACAGTAAATCCTGTGAAACATTTTTCAGACATCTTCCTAATGTGAAAGGCACTATATCAAATGCAAGGACTATCATAATCATTATTTTAATAATATGAAGCTTCATAACATTATAATACCACATATGCAGATTTTAACAAAATCATTTTCATGTTCCCTTCATCTCTTGAAGCATTCCATTTCTTTTTTCCTTAGGTTGGGATACAGCATCATAGCTGCCAGTCATCTTATAGTATCTCACCCCCCCTTGATGACCACAGAAAGCTGCAATTGGGTAAATAATTTGGAGAAATAGTAAATACTTTCCCTGTTTAAAAACACATCTGATGTATAGCTCCAGAGTACAGAAAATAAAAAGATCTTAAAAGAATCCTGCAAAGCATCGGGAGAATTATTCAATGCTTTTGTATCCATCACCACACAACACACATTCCTTGCTCAAAGCCTGGACAATCAACGTCTCCCAAGGTTTCTTAAACCACAGTAGCTCAAAGGACACGTGAATTGTGATTCCTTGTGTGAGTGGGTAAACCACTTGTACTCTAATTCCGCTTGGAAAAATATTTGGCTGCTGAGCAAACCTCTCCAGAGAACATGGTCAAGAATACAAGATTAATCCCATATGCAGAACCTCTTCTGCACCACAGTGCATTTTAACACAACATTACGGACCAACAAAGTTACATATTCATTATTTCTAGGCTACTATGATGCACAATAATTACTTCAGTATGGATAACATGAGCTCATTTTAGATTAGGTGAGCTCATTTATGAACCACAAAACCAATCAATGCATTCACACAATTAAATGCTAGCCAATATAATGGAAAATTTACCAACTTTCTAACTAATTGCAGTTAAAAAGGTGAATTAAAGCACATACAAGTTAGATGACAGATTAATTTTTCTATCTTTAGAGAAGGGTAAAGATATACCAATAAACAGAGCACTGTTAAAGCTTAAAATAGTCTGCCTTTGGCAAGAAAAACTGCTCTAAAATTGCAAGTCAAATGCTAATCATCTGCACAATTATAGAATTGGGTGTTTTATTTGGCCTAAGTATACAAATCATTTAAGAAAATAAATAGCAGAACAGTGGTCCGCCTCCAATGTATCTGGTCAGGCTGAATTGAGCAGCCGAGTGAAGCAACCCACAGTTGCACTCCTCATAATGGTCCATCACTATACAGGGCGTCCACAAAATCCTCTTATCTCCTGTTACAAAACAGCGATGTGAGACGATAGTGGAGCTGAAACAAGCTGTCAGAGATGCAATTCACTTCGTAATCTCATCCATGTCACGGAAGATGTCACACTGAACATGGCAATGGATCATTATCTGCCACGAAAATGATGGCACCCACACCGATCCTCTGGACGTCTAAATACAGTTAAACATTTGTACTGAATACAATTAAGTACTTCTGAATACAATATCATCATTCTCCCACATGTTTCAGTGCATTATAGAAACAAAACATGGTGGGTATCAGGATTTTCTGTACATCACTAGGTGCTAGCACTTGCTGGATTGAAGGGACCTAACACAACCTTTCAGTTTTTATTAAAATAAATAGGTAGGTTACCTTTTTTTAAAACCAGAAATTTTGCACAAACAATTGTATAATTTTCTGATCTTAAATGCTCGTTAAACATTTCTTATTGACAAATTAACAAAGATAACTAGACATGGATTGCTAAATTGTGAACCTTGATCACAGTTCCTAAGGGTGTTTCAAAAGAAGTATTTTTCTAGCAGGATTTTCAGATAATGCTGTGTACTAGAATACAATACATTCCTCTCCACCAAAATCAATTAACTGCAGACAAAAACAAGGTGAAATAAAATCAAAGTGAGTTGTGAACAAACAGCAATGTAAATTTGCAACATTGTAACCTTTAAGGACTATAGTCAATTCTGCCCTGAAACTGCGGTTTATTTGTGACACACAGAATTGTATCTCGAAACCAATTTCAAGGCTGACATAGGGGTAAATCAGCCTTGTCTGAAGTATGTGTTTCATCTTGTATATTAAGTATTTACATTTGTATTACCAATCTCAACTATGCTGCTGTGGACAGAAGGTATGTGCATGTCAAGTATTTCTGCACGGTAGGATAACTAAAATCAGATGGCAAATCCTCAATAGGCTGCTTTCTCATACTCTTTAGATGACAGAGGATCTGGATACATCCCACAAATATTGCATTGCTGAAGAATGCAATAAAGTAATGGAAAAAAAATTCCCTCTCCTTACTTGCTGAAATCCTTCCTAATGCTCTAAAAATCTGCTCTCTCACAGCAATAACATTTGGGAAATGTTGTTGGGAAAAGCAGGGCAGAACAATTCCAGCGATGTGCAACTTGCCTATTAATAATAATCTTTGCATTTGATGTAGCGTCTTATCATGAATTTGGGACGTCTCAAAGCGCTTAAACTACAGATCTGTCACCTTAACATCAGTTGTAGGGAAAATACTGGAATCCATCATCAGGGACAGAGTGAATGAACACTTGAGCAGGTATGAGCTTGTCAAAGAGAGTCAGCATCGGTTTGTGAAGGGTAGGTCGTGTCTGATTAAATCTAGTTGAATTTTTCTGAGGAGGTCATTAAATGGAAACGCATGGGGTTGGAGGTAACCTTGTGACGTGGCTTGGTAATTGGTTGGGAGTCAGGAAACATAGGGTAGGGATAAAGGGAACGTTCTGATTGGCGGGACGTGACAAGTAGTGTCCCCCTGGGGTTTGCACTGCGACCTCAGATATTCAAGATATATATATATACATAAATAAATGACTTGGATGAAGGAATCGAAAGTTTTATATCCAAGTTTGCAGACAAAACTAAGCTAGGAGGCTCAGTAAATTGTGTAGATGGGTGTAGGAAGTTACAAAGGGATTTAGACAGATTAAGTGAGTGGGCAAAGCTATGGCAGATGGAGTTTAATGTAGGGAAGTGCGAGGTCATCCACTATGGACTGAAAAAAGATAAAGCAGAATATTTGCTGAATGGGGAGAAATTAAGAATGGTTGAGGAGCAAACAGATTTGGGTGTCCATATACACAAATCACTAAAGACTAGTTCCCAAGTGCAAAAAGCAATCAAAAAGGCGAATGGAATTTTGGCCTTTATCTCAAGGGGCCTGGAATAGAAAGGGGAAGAAATGATGCTTCAACTGTATAGAGCGTTAATCAGATCCCATCCGGAGACTGCGTTCAGTTTTGGGCACCACACCTCAGGAAAGATATAGTGGCCCTGGAGGGGGTGCAACGCAGATTCACCAGACTGTTACTAGGCCTAAAAGGGTTAAGTTACGAGGAAAGGCTGAGGAAACTTGGGATTGTATTCCCTTGAGTTTAGAAGATTAAGGGGTGATTTGATTGAGGTATTTAAGATGATAAAGGGATTTGATAGAGTAGATACAGAGAAGCTATTTCCTCTGGTGGGGAAATCCAAAAGGGGCATAGTCTTAAAATTAGAACCAGGCCATTTAAGAGTGAAATCAGGAAGCATTTTTTCACTTGAAGGGTGGTAGAGATCTGGAATTCTCTCCCCCCATAAGGCCATGGATGCTGGATCCATCCACACCTTCAAGAGTAAGGTTGATAGATTTTTGGTCGGTCAGGGAATTAAGAGATATGGGGAGAAAGTGGGAAATTGGAATTGAAAGGATTAGTTGAGGGACAGATCAACCATGATCTAATTAAACAGCCAAACAGGCTCAAAGGGCTGAATGGCCTACTCCTGTTCCTATGTTCCTATGATTCACAGAATATACTGTGAAGTGAATTGACTACATTTTTTGGGTGAAACGAGGCAGCCAATTGTGCATAGTAGTGTCCCACAAACAGTCGTGGATTGAAGTGACCAATTTATTATTATTATTTTGTCTATTCTCGATAAACAGAACATACTGTCAAAGTACCTTCGACAGTCATTTCAACACACAATCAAGTAACTGGTTTTACTGTGCTGCTCAATATATACTGTACACAGTAGCTATTCCATTTGCTTAATTGTTAATGCAGTTGATGCAAATGTACTATCAATGAATCCTACTAAATTTGATAGATATGACTAGCAAACATTCATTGTGCTTTACAGGAAACAATTAAGAAATGTAATATAGAGGTACCAACATTTTGAATAAGCCCAAGTTTTCAGTGTGTGATCTGTCAATGTTGCAGTGCAGCTCAATTTCTTCTGAAAAATTAGATTCTGTCAATATATTCTGAGAGTACTTCCTCCTCCTTGAGTGTAAAGCAACATTGCCTGAAGCACCTGTGCAGGACTACTTATGAGTCAGATCTTTGTGACCTTCACTTGCATCTTTCCATTCACTCTTGCTCCCCCTCAAAGAAATACTGACAACGACATGTTATTCTACCATTAACATTCAAGGAGGTTAACAATGAATAGAATACAACTTTAAATGGGGCAAACCCAACCACGACAAATACAGCATAATTAAACATTTCCACATAAGCGCTGATCAAATGCAGGTTATTTAAGGATATATTTAATTCCTAAAAACAGGTAGTTCAAATATTTCAAGTACATTGCCTGAAAGGTTTGTGTGAAGAACCGTGAAACTCAAACAGTATACCAACCTTGTGCCTGCATTTTAGTACCACTCCATAGGCTCCTGTGGAAGAGAAAAAAAAGTACAATTTTATAGGCCTCAAAATACTAACAACAAATATCTTTTGCAACAATCCCAATAGTATTGCACAAAACTGAGGGAAAAAAACAAAAAGATTTTAGAAATAGTAAATAAATATTGACTTCTAAGTGCTGTTTGAATAGTTTGTCCCACATTATACCGAGTAATGGTTTGCAACCAAAATAAAATTCCTGACTCAGCTTCTGATGGAGGAAAACATAAATTAATTGAAGGGCGAGACAACTTAAACTGTCTCATGTGCCTCCTTGCAGGTAATTACTGACTACAGGCAAACCCATAGAAGTAGGTCATCTACCCAGCAACTTAGCTAGAAAATATGTCAAGCGAATCTCAAGACCAATTTAAAATATTTTAATGGAGAAAAAAATTAAGACACAATAGAAGAAACAGAATACAGTAGGTGTTGTCTAAAATTCAGTTCTGAAAACAATGACTAATGCACAAAACATATGATAAACGCATGCTGATTAGCTGCGTGACCACTTATCCACATCCTGAATGTCGGCAAATATTTCAGTTACATGCTTATTCCAGGTATGTGATTTTTTCCAACTTTAAAATGGGTGGCATGAGTTGGAGTTCAGATCCAGGTTAAGATTTGAGAGAAACACAAACCCACAATGACAGAACAGAGACAGACACCCAAAGATCATTAGAGACACTGACACAAAGCATTTGAGAGAAAGAAAGACATGCTTTGGGACATCCTCTGGACCTGAGTGACACTATATAAATGTAATTTTGATGTCAGCCCTGCTTCACGTCCCTCGACCCACCCGCCCCACCATTGGCGGGAGAGCCTTCAGCCACTCTGCCCCCAACCTCTGGAATTCCATCCCCCAATCACTCTGCCTCACCCCCTCCTTAGCCTCCTTCAAGTCCTGCCTCAAGACCCTCCTCTTCGACCATGCCATCGACCACCCCCTTCCCCTCCCTTCCCCCACCCCAACCCCAGCTCGGGTCTGAAATGCTGTACATTGTCCAGCGCCTTGGGACGTCCTCCCGACGTGAAAGGCGCTATACAAGTGTAATCTTGTTGTTGTTGTTGGTTGTTGCACACGCACATGGTTAGAAAGAGAGAGGAGCAGAGACAGAAAGAGACATTTTTTTCATACCCACAATTTGAACCAGTTTCAATTAGTGCAGATAACAGTCTCCCAACTCTACATGATTACATAATGACACAAGGGCAATTTAAAAAAAAATACTTTTTAAGATCAATCATACTGACCAGACACAAGTAATGCTGGGTTTAAGCTATGTTGCCCACAATAAGTAGCCCGTCTTTAGGTTTGAAATTTGCACTATTTTCCAGTTTCTACATGAGTGAAACTATTGTCATTACTTTATTTACAAGCAAATTTATTTATGTGACATTTATTTGTATGATCAGCATATGATACGGCTTCCATTTGACTTCTACAACTGCTTGCATTTTTATATTACCTTTATATCAAAGAATCTCTTGAAGTAGTGTACACCAAACAGGAAATTGAGAGATTTAAAATGTTTACCAAATACATGGTCGAAGAGATACGTTTTATGTTTGTGAATGCAGGGAGAGGTGTAGCAGAGTAAACAACAAACAACAAAATTACATTTACATAGTGCCTTTCACATCGGAACTATGTTGCAAGTGGTTTTGGAAGAGAATGCCAAAGGAAGAGGAGTGTTTGGCTGAACACTCAAGGGCATGGGAATAGAGAGTCAGAAGACTTGCTTGAAAAACGTTGCATAGGTAAGATGGGCTGAAAGTGTGGAGCGATTTTAAGAGCAGGACAAAGATCTTCAACTCAATTTTCTAAGGTACTGAGAGCCAACAAAGCTTGGCACGGAAGGGGGTAATGGCTGTATGGAGCTTTGTGTGGGAGAGAACTCGGGCTGCAGAATTCTGGATCAGCTGAAGCTTCTGGAAAGTGAAGTTACAGAGGCCGTTCCAAAGACAGCATTGTCAAATCTATCCTCAAGAAAGGCAAGGGCATGACTAAAGGTTTCAGCAGCAGTGGGATGAGGTAATCGAATAAGTGGGCAATGTTCCAAAGATTCCGTTGCTGATGGGTTGCAGTTTTAGGGATTACATAACTTGCAACGCAGGTATTATAGAGCGTAATAATAATAATCACTGTATTTGATATAGCGCCTTATCGGATCATTGAGACATCTCAAAGAGCTTCACAGAATATACTGTAAAGTGGATTGACTCTTGTGAGTGAAACGAGGCAGCCAATTGCACACAGCAGTGTCCTACAAACAGTCATAGGTTGAATGACTAATTTTTGGGGGGAGTGGGGGGAGAATTATTACACCAGAAAGTGATCTGCCAATCGACTATCAACCTGATTCCTACATCCTTCAAGGTAAAGAGAGGCATGTAGAGTAAGGGAACTTGCCTAAGGTTTCGCCCCGCCCAGGAATTGAACCCCGGTGCTCTTGTTTGTGCATTTTATTTTATTGCGAATTTTATTCACCATGAATCCTGTTTATCATATTCAAACAGAAAACAAAGAAAACAACATCCCCCATGCTAAGTTCTATGCCCTTGGTAGAGTACATGTGTCTCATATTTAAACTCACAGGAGGCAGTATCTGGGATTATTTGTATTGAACTATATTTGCCAGTGATCAGCCTCGGGGCGTAACCTGTCAAAATAAACTCTTGGCTGACTCCACTAATTCTATAGATACTTCCTCACCCTCTCCCCAACTAAATTCCACCTACAGATTAAACAACCTCATACTGAGTCGACAATTCAAGATCATTCATGAATATTTGGAACAGTAAGAATCTCTTCATGGTCTCCAAACATCAATATCTACCCCCACTTCAACCTGGCTCCTCTATGCTAACATACGGTTCTATCCCTTTAGCCAGATCTTGATCTACATCTATGTTTTATCATCTGTATTGACATACTTTAATTTATGAAAGAATCTTGTGTGAAATGTCATCAAAGGCAGTGAAGAATGAAAACAAACAGTATCATAACAAATCTCCCACCTCGCAGAGGGTGGCAGGCAGGCAGGCAGGCAGGCAGGCAGGCAGGGAAGGAGGGAGGGATTAATAACATATTGCTGCTATCAACGAGAAAGGAAAAGAAACTTTAAAAAGTACTCTAAACCTTTCACCATCTTTAATTAATTCCCTACATTCCTCATTCCTTCAGCATGATGCACCATCCTCCAAATAAAAATGTTAATCAGGCAGATGATCTGCTTTCAAGCTTCTATGAACAACTGGTACAATACAAGAATGCATTCACAAGGAATATTACCCTACAACTTTCCACTCTCATTCTGGAGGAAGGTTATGTCCACTACAATCATAATTTGCAATGCTAGGAATCATGGGTTCAATCCCTCATCATGTTACATTGCAGCAAGATTATCACAGCATCCTAGATTTAACGATATAAAATTGATTCCTGTTGAAATCGCAATCATAATAGTTTCTATCAAAGGAATAACAGTTTAACTGAATAAAAGCCTCTATTCTTGTCCTCAGAAAAGTCTACAATCCTCAATTGCAACTTATTGTTGCTTGAGTAGAAAGCTTCTATAATTAAATATGTTTAATTTCAAAATTTCTCTTGATACAGCACTATTTGAAAAAAAATCCACTTAAAGTTCAGAAAATCAAAAATAAACAAGCTTTTTTAAATTAAAATTCAAGGGTCCAGCCTGATCTTAAGAAATTACCTTGTTTTGAATGTTATACAATGCTCTACACAATATTTTCCACACTTAACTGAATGTTGAAAAAACAAAGTGGGAGAAGACAAATCCATGATTGATGACTACTTTTTAAACCGACAGAACACTACAGGGATTGTTGTGTTGGTTGTACATTGAGTTCTTGCTTCTCCATGAAGATAAAAGTTACTCATTAGGGCTTTGTCTTGTAGTAATAATCCTTGCATTTGAGATGGCACCTTATCATCGCTTCGAGACGTCTCAAAACACATCACAGAATATACTGTCAAGTGAATTGACTGTATATTTTGTGGGCAAAACGGGGCAATCAATTGCGCAAGGCAGTCAATTGCACACAGCAGTGTCCCACAAACAGTCCCACAATTGACTAACAAGCAGGTTCCCAGTATGCTGGTAAACAGAGGCAGTAAAGAAACTTGCCCAACGTTTCACCTTGCCTGGGAATCGAACACAGGTCCTCTTACTTGCGAGGTGAGTGTACCAACCACAAAACTACAGGACACCACAGGCTCCACAAGTTAAATATTTAAAAGATAGGAACAAGTGTTTTTTCAGCGAATCCCATTTGCTCTCTTACCAAGGTAGGTAGGTTCATTTAATAATTTGTAATGTTTAAACAATTTCAGCACTAGAAAAAAAAGCCAATACTCATGATGTTCAAAAGTCAAAAATATCCAATGAATAGGTTCTGGTAAAGTGACTGAGAACTTAAAATATGTTGAAGCAGTAAGGTCCATACCAGTATAGTTATAAACAAATCTGCAGAATTATACATTTCATAACATATATAACGTTTTTCCTCAAAACGTACCTTCACCTACAACTCCAAGGACTTCAAATTTATTCATCACATTACCAATGTCAGTAATCTTCATGAAGACAAATTTCTCTGACACAGTTGGCCACAAATCATAGCATGGTTATTGATGTTAAAAAGGAGCTTGCTGCAGGCAGGTACTGTACAGGGTCCATTACACCAGAAGGGCCAGCTAATCAGGTTCACATTCTTCATGCTTGTCATAACTTAGCCGCAATGTATCCCCACCTGAAAGAAAGAATTCATAATTACTAATTTGCAGTCAAATCTCAGCATAAACAAAATTTATTTTCTTGCAAGAATCATGCTGTTGAAATCCTGCTTTTAGACAAAAAATGAATCAATAGGTAGCTATTCAAAATGAAGTGGACAAAGATATAGCAAATATTTTTATATGTAGAATACAGTGCTAGTTTCCTAAAAAAAATCCAGCAAGCTCTAAAACTGTATTCCTGTACATTACCAAAACATTATTTTTATAATTTGCATTTACGGGGGTTGACTGAATATTTATCTCTCCCCACCCCCTCTGCATCATTACCTGATCACATTCTACTGATCCTTCACCACTGATGCTGGAATCATGATCTTAGCTACGACTCAGCATGGCATTTTTGGTGGGGGTTGAGGAAGAGGGAAGGGCAAACAATGAACTATCCCTATAATAATGATATAGATTATTATTGAGTTTTTTTTTAAAAAAACAGCATCAATACAACAACAACAACAAGATTCCATTTATAGAGCGCCTTTCACGTCGGGAGGACGTCCCAAGGCGCTGGGCAGTTGGGTCAGGACCCGAGCAAGGGGGGAAATGGTCAGGGTGAGGGGAGGGAACGAGGAGGGGGTAGAGAGTCGAAAGGGCAGCTGAAGGGATGGGGAGCCAGTAGAGGCGAGCAAGGGAGTGATGTGGTCCCGAAGCCTGGTGCGGGACAGTACACGAGCTGCAGAGTTCTGAATGACCTGTAGCTTGTGGAGGGAGGTGCCGGGAAGGCCGGCGAGGAGAGAGTTCCCATAGTCCAGCCTTGAGGTGATAAAGGGGTGGACCAGAGTTTCAGCAGCGTGAGGGGTGAGGTAGTGCCGTAGTCTGGCCATGTTCCGGAGGTGATGGAAGGCGGTGCCAGTTGTGGTGCGGATGTGAGGGAGAAAGGACAGCTCAGGGTCGAACAAAACGCCGAGGTTCCTGACTGGCTTTGAGAGGTGGAGAGTGCAGCCTTGGATGCTGATGGTGTCGGCGCCTGAGGTGCGGAGGCGCTGACGTGAGCCAATCAGGAGGGCCTCAGTTTTGCACACGTTGAGCTGAAAAAAGTTGTCTCTCGTCCAGGACTCGATGTCGGACAGGCAGCTGTCAGGACATCGGTGGTCGTGGAGTTGAGGTAGAGGAGGAAAGGTAGAGTTGGGTGTCATCCGCATACATGTGGAAGTTAACCCCATGTCTGCGGATGATGTCACCAAGGGGGAGCATATAGAGGGTGAAGAGGAGGGGACCGAGGACAGAGCCCTAAGGGACACCACACGAGACAGTGCGGGGGCTGGAGGAAAAGCCATTTGTGGAAACAAAATGAAGATGGTGGGAGCGGTACGACCTAAACCACTCAAGGACAGGGCCTTGAAGGTTGAGGTGGGAGGACAAGCGGTGGAGGAGGATAGCGTGGTCGACCCTATCGAATGCGACCGATAGGTCGAGGAGGACGAGGAGGCAGAGGGAGCCCTGGTCACAGATGGTCAGGATGTCATTGGTGACCTTGACCAGGGCAGTTTCTGTGCTATGGGCAGCACGGAAACCCGACTGAAGGGGTTCGAATAATGCATGGGTGGAGAGGAAAGAGCGCAGCTGGGAGGCGACAACTCTTTCAAGGACCTTGGACAGGAAGGGGAGGTTGGAGATGGGCCGGTAGCTTGATAGCTGCGACGCATCAAGGGAGGGTTTTTTNAAAGTGGGAGTGATGGTGGCAGTTTTTAGGGGAATGGGAATAGAGCCAGAGGAGAGGAACAGGTTGATGATGTCTGTGAGAATACCACCATGAACAGCCACTACGAGTATGGAGAGGTACCTTGCAGCAACTTGGGTCTATTCAGCAAACCTCAAGACCACAGATCTGGTTTTACAACATCCCCATGTCAACTGGAGGAACCAGTCAAGGACATGTTTTCAACACATAGTCTGCAAAGGCATTGGGATCTATATAGAGTTTCTTTTTATGTAAACTTGGCTATGTTTTGTTAAATGTAGAAAGTCACAAACGACAGCCTCTCTATCTGTGACCAGGGCTCCCTCTGCCTCCTCGTCCTCCTGGATTGCTCTGCCGCGTTCAACAGTCGACCTGCCATCCTCCTCCACCGCCTCTCCTCCCTCATCCACCTTAGTGGGACCAATCTTGCATGGTACGAGTCCTACTTTACCATCAGTCTCCCTCAATCCTTCTGCCTTCCCCTCCCTCTCCCCTTTTTCAAGTCCCGCCTGAAAACCTTCATTTTCGACCATAGTTACTGTCACCCCCAACCCCCTCCCCCCGGCTCCAAGTTAGGCTCCACCACTGTTAAGCGCTCCAAGACGCTACCCTACGATATAAGTGCAAGTTGTTGCTGTTGTTGTAAATCCAATGTTTGCCACATTTATTACCACAATACACAACAGTACATTTAAAATGGACTCACTGTTCTTTAGAAAATCCAAAAATATTACTGGCTCACTTTTTTTTATTTCCATTAATTGCATCTGGCATCCTTTACCCAAAATTGTGGTATTTCGACAAGTCAGTTTTAGTTTTTTATTTCAGGTGGATGGATAATCACCAGCCCATAGATGGCTTGTCTGCAAGCTTCTGTCTTTAATGCTTAGGAAAGCTAATAGAAGCTGTAGAGAAACAACATTTCCCCTCCCTCCTCATGCGTAAATGTTAAGGCTTTTCTAATCTCCCAATAGAACAGCCAGTATTAATAATAATATCAAGGAAATAAGATAATTGAATTTTGTAAACAATGCTGATAAATTTTGCGTCACATTCAAGTCAATTAACTTCAAGACTTCTTTTATGTATGAAAGAGCATGGTACTGTGCTCTTTGGAACCAGTTTATGAATTCATGTATTTTGGCAAAGGTCTCCAGCTTGCTGTGGTTCAATCTTTCAGCCAAGATGCCTCACAACATAATCAGCATTTATTACATCTGCTTACATAAAAACAGCCTTCAGAGCTGACATCTTCCACAAGGATCACAACTTCCCACCTATTTCAGCAGGGTGGCAGTATGCAGTAACCATCAACCGAATGTCATAGAACATCATAAGCTAACACACAATTTATAGATAGGGCCATTTCTAATTTCTGAAAAATCAGCAATGTGGGCAAATATAATTTTTAGTCAATTAACTCGGATGTTAGTCGTTTGGCGGATCACTTTCCAGGGGTAATAATCCCTTCATAAAATAATAGTAATTTGGTCACTCAATCCACGACTGTTTGTGGGACACTGCTGTGCGCAATTGGCAGCTGCGTTTCACCCACAAAATACACATTCACTACAATTTACAGTACATTCTGTGAAGGGCTTTGAGACGTCGCATCGGCATGATAATGCGCTATATCAAATGCAAGGATTATTATTTATTATTATTACAGGAAGGTAGTGGCAATGCTCTCACACATTTCACCAGAAAGCTCGCAGGGAGTTCCTAGTATCTACCATACACCTATCCAAATATCTCTGGAATTTCCACATATAGTTGGGATGCATGGAACTCTCTGTTTGGTTTGGATACTCTTAAGCATGGTTTCCGCATGTGTCAGATACCTGGCTGACCAAAAAAAAATTTCAGGGAATTAAGTAATGGATTGACCTCTGTATATTATATTATATTATATATGTATATTATATATATTATATTATTAATGCACGTTATGCGGGACTCCTTCAAGTCCCGCCTCAAGACCCTCCTCTTTGACCATGCCATCGGCCACCCCCCTTCCCCCCCCAACCCCACCTCGGGTCTGAAATGCTGTACTCTGTCCAGGGCCTTGGGACGTCCTCCCGACGTGAAAGGTGCTATACAAATGTAATCTTGTTGTTGTTATTCAATTAGTTGGATTTATATACAGTGGTTTTAAACGCTATGTTGACAATAGATTTGTTGCTTTTAAATGTTATCACTATTATCAACATGCATAAATTATGTTGCATTTATTTAAACCAAAATGGAAAAAAAACAAATGCTGGATATCTGGGGGAAGTACAGATAATAATGGAAATGCTGACAATGCATTAGGAGGTTAATCAGCTCCTGAAAGAGAAAGATATCTTGAGTTCTTTATCAGAATTGACTTTCAACACAATGTCAAAGCTATTACAATTGTGTGGGTTGTGGGAGTTATTTGAAGGATTACAAGCAAACAGTCTTTTAATTACTGATTGACTTGGTGACCATCTGCACCATTCCCCTGTTGGTCTGGGCCTCAAATGAAACAAAAATAATTGAGAAAATTCAATTTCACCTCCTACCGGTCCCTATTTTGAAACATTCTGCCCATCCAAGCGAAAGGGATTTTCTGCTCATCCAGACATAAAATGTTCATTTTCCCTTCAAGGAGAATTTCCTTCACGTTGTTAACAGTTGAGTGGAATTCTGCTCAAAAGCCTGACATAATGCAAACTTGCTACTTGCATCCAAACAAATCATATGCTTCTTAGTTTTCCTGCTGAACCTCGTATAAGTGAATGACCTTGTATAAGTGAATGAAGAATGCAAACTTGTTGTGACTTTTACGAAACTGACATTTCCCAGAATGTCACCCAGAAAATCCATTCCCCTTGACTCAATTTTTACCTGGATTGTTTTAAACAAATTGGAAATTTGTTTAAAAATTCCCAGTATATTTGACAAAACACTAAAATAAATCTTTTTAAAAAACCCTGAACATTAATAAATTGCTTCTAGAATAACCCCTACCACATCCTGATCCTGCCCCTGAATTGTACTTATTTTGGGAAAGGAAATGTATTACAGCAGTTGATCCATCATGCTGTAACTAGGTCATTCTTGTCAGGTAGGGTAAAAATAACAGAATACCTTTACAAGGGGACCTTTTTAAATTGATACTTCCATGAGAAATAACCTTCAGATACCAGCGTCTATTATTAGTTGCCGTTTCAACATGAAATGTCAGGTTCTTGTTGAGACTTATTTACGCAATCTCTTTCAAGTGCCCTCCTTCATCAATACCATTCGCTG